ATTTTCTCAAAGTGTAGAGCACGTCGCGTGCGGTACGCATAAACCTTTGCTGTGAAATGGCCTTTATAGATGAATATCTTTTTGATATATAAATTTATCGAAGTGTCCGTTTTCTAAGAGATTTCTTTAGGAACTAATTAAAAAGTATTTTTAGTATTTCACATTTTACCAGTAGTAAAATTCGAGGTTGGGTCGCCAGAGTCAAAAGAATTTTACCGATTCCGAATCCAAACATTGGTGATGATACTTGTTCTCAAGATCGGATGTTTGAATTCAAACAGTATTACTTTTTATTAAATTTTTATTTTTATGTTCTTTTATTTTAATATCCTAGTGCACAAATGAGATAAGATACACGTGTTCCATTATAGTTTCTAAACAAAGTGAATAATGTTCAGAAATAAAACAATATATTTTTTAATAAGATAGCTGGTAGAAGTGCCACTAATAACAGATACTTTCATAGGATAAATGAGAGGAATTTGACGTTTCAATGTCGTCGTCTTCTTCTGTAATGTCTTTATGTGGCAGAAATACTTCTTCTTCTTCATTTCACTTCTATAAAATTTCTCTACAAATCTAATCCTTAATATCTTCGTTCGTCATGGTAAGTCAGAAATGGGTACTCTTTGTTTAGTCGTGACACTCCAGTTAATGATGTACGATTACAGCCACCACAAAACAAATATAAAATCAACAAGCTGTATCTAAAAATGAGTAACGGAAGCGTAGACAAAATGTCTTTCACAATTGGGTAAGACAATTTTTATTGACTCTAATGAGAAGAATAACATTTTATTGTTATTTTCAAGAGCTTTGCTTAAATATATATAGCATTCTTGACCTTTTTCAATAAATGCAACATCAGGAAGTTTATCGTATATATACCAGGAATTAAAAAATTAAAAAATATATTTTCAAAAATGTAATGTTATGTGGACACGAACCTTCAAACTTGAGAACACGTGTTAAAATTATGCTGCTGCAACTGTCTTGTTTTATTTTTTGTCTGATAACTTATATTTGATAATTTAGTCCCAATTTCGAACATCAATTTTTATAAACTAGGTCAATTGGACGAAACGTTGAAACATGGATTAATTATTTTCGATGTACTGTACATTCACAATCTTAAAGCTCATCGAAATCCGTGACACCATGACCGCGTACTCTCCTTGTTAGTCGAATGTCGCTTTATTATTATCAACCGTATTTATAGAAATTTGCAGCTGACTGTATTTGTAATTGAAATTTTGACTCTCCTGATTTTAAGCAATTAACAAGAACCCGAGGAATATTAAGAAAAGAAAAATATAATCTTTAATACTATATGCTCTTTAAAATTATTTTTAAAATGCTACATCCCATCGTTATCTTGAGATATTGGATATTTCTTAAGCATCTGTTCATACTGCTCTGTAGATTTTTTTTCCTTAAAAATTTTTTGATTTTAAATATATTAAAATTCTATATAATATAATAGTAATACTGTATAAATGTAAACAAAACTAATTATATTTTCTTAATAGGAAATTATCTCATGTGAACATTGTGGATTAAGTAACGCTTACAGAAAAATCTGAAAGCAAAAAATGCTCTGTCCAAATTTTATGAAAACCAGAACATTTTATATTTTATTCTATGGGAAAAAAACTTCTAAATTACTGAAAAATCGAGATTATATATACGTTATAATTCGTGATATTTATTTTTAGAATCACGGATTAAAATTTTTCACTCATCTTTTGGGAGTTTCTTTAAAAATTTTAAAAACTAGTTGTCAATTTTAACAAATTTAAAATGTTTCATGATTTTAATTTATAAATCCAAATGACTTTTAAAACTTTTGAGGATTATGATTATCCGACCTCTTAAAAATAGCCCGAGCGAACGGATCCTGTATGATAAGGGATCGTTATTTCGTCAATGTTCTAACGTATTATTTCTCAATTAGCAACTCGCAAAATATATTTTTGCTTGGGTGTTACGAGATTCTAGTATCTAAGCAGTGTATTAAATCAAATACTTGGAAACACTGCTATGAATTAAACATAGAATGATTAACTTACAATTATATATATATATATCAATAATATATAAAGGAGTAAGTATCGGAAATGCCACACATAGCTAATCGGAATCAACGTTTCGTGTATGGCACGTGATTTTTATTCAGCTAATTATACAATTTAACTCCGCCATTATTTTTCTATTGCTTCGAAGATTTTATGGGTGCGTGGGTATGCAAATAATCATTACGATGCCTTACAAGGGGTGAAGATGTTTACAAAAACATTACATAAAGCTAGGATCTCAACCTTTGGATAACAGAACGATTCATTTTCGTTTCCCGACAAGTTGCGTAATGAACCCTACCATTTGTTACTGCTTCGTATGTAAAATAGCTTAATGTTCGATACCCCGTGCTGTGTGTTATTCCTTATCAGACTACAAATAAAGGGGTCGATAAGCGTTACGTAATTTTGAGCGTAGGTATGTGCGGCGCGTTACGGGGTGTGGGATGATAGTTGAAAAATATAAAAATAGCGTTACGTAACTTATGGAAGATGCCATATTGATTTCTAAACATCTTTATAATTATTTAACTGTAACGAACACAAATACATTCCACTTTGAAATATAAAAGGAACCTAGACTATATCATGTATGATATATTATCGGCGTAATTGCGTCGCGCGCTTGCTAGTTATAATAAAAAGACAATTTATTATTTCTAAATTCATCAAATTTTAAATATAAAATTAGTAGTAAAGATGTTCCTAATAAATTTCGAAATGGTATAATTTAACTATTTAAATATGTTTTATTGAAAAAAAATATAGGCCTATAGAAAAGATGAAGAATAATAGAATATATTAAATTCGCATCTAAAGTAACAAACGAATATTTATTAGTTATATATTTATAAATATATTCGACATTTTTAGGTTCTGTGCATCGGTTTAGGAGGGAACGTGTGCAGATTCCTATACATTTCTTGGTTAAGGAACCCTTGGTGGGTTCTACCTTTCGAATTCGTCCAAGGTGAGAGGATTTATTATATTACACACTTAATTTATATTGATTTAAGTCGCGTATAGGCTTATATTATATATTTGCTACACTTTATCGATTTATGGATTAGATACAAGATTGAAACGCGACCTACAGACTGAGGAAACAATTTATAGCAAAATAGAAAACGTGAAAAGATTTGTAAATCTTTTAACTAGAAATTTTTCTACAAGAAAAACTAGAAAATTCTGACAAAGTAATAGTTTAATTGGAAGCCTTTTCTGCGCATTTTTTTTTTTATTGTGGGAAATAACTCAGGTGAATTTAGTGTAGTAACCGCATTCATTGATCCATTCTAAAATGGGAAACGCTTTCTTTTGATCACAAAGGACGAATAAGAATTCGATCGAGAGAAAAAAAAATCGGACAAATGCTTTGGAAAAATAACCATTTATATAATAAGCAGTTTACACAAAATTTTTATGGTTCGGTAATAAAGAAAAATATATATACTACATCAGAGGTCCCCAACCTTTTTCTGAAGAGGGCCATATAATCCGTGAAAGACAAGTTTAGGGGCCATGTACGAATGATAAATTTAAAGATTAAGATTTTTATTTTTTCTGAATAACAACGAACATAAATCAATATAAAATTTGCGACTTCTCTTTCGAAAGAATGTCATCAGAATCGAGAATAAATGTTATGGTACACAATATTAAACTCTTTTTTAGATTGTTCGATATTTTGATTTTATATACTGTATTTAAATTTTGAAAAATGTTTCTTCTCAAAGATACAGTAAGTAGAAACAAAAATATCTTAAGACTTAAAATTTTCTCCTGGAGAAGATTTGTAAAAATCTAATAAACTCTTTAAATGGGTTTTTATAATAATCAAGATCTATTATGATAATTGTAGTTGACTTTTCAAAAGTTTATATTCTTTGAACTAATTCGAATGACGATAAAACGTGTCTGAAAACGATTAATATGAATACGGGCCGGATAAATATGCTTCGGAGACCCCCTGTATTATATATAATTATCATCGTCGTCGTATGAAAATTATCTTTAAACGATTCGTAATTTTTAGAATGAATTACCTGCAATCCACTTAAATTTCTTTAAACTAATTGAAAGTCAATCAATCATTTTAATAATACTTACCAATGCCTCTTATATAAATATAATTTTCTGAACCGGAATTAAATATCATTAATTTGAGAAGAAAATCAAATAAAAATTGTTTTAAAAATCCTATTTAGATTTTTTATTCGTTTTCACAGAATTTTCTTCCTTAATTAATGTTATAAAATTTTGCAATTTTTAGATTTGATTGAACGGTCTTTAATGCTATAAAAATAATTAATTGCTATGAAATTTATTCTTCCGTTATCTTCTGTAATGAATTATACATAAGTCTAAAATAATAATGAATTATTTTCAATTGCTTCTTTGATATTGCCTAAATCTAATGATAAAAAATAAAAAGATGACAAGAGAATTTTCTTTGAGTATTTCTAGTCAACGTTATCATTTAAAAAAAACGTCAAATAAATTTTATATTAGACAGAGAACCATTTTTTACAGCAAATTTTAATTCCTTTATTTTAAATTTAAGAATAACTAAACAAAAATACAATTTTTTGTTTCAGTATTTGTCAGGTGTTAAACTTTATGAATGTATAAAAAATATGCATAAAATGTTTACAAATTTTCCAGTAACCGGATCTCTAGTTTCAAATGTTTTTTCATTTTCTCGTTCGCTATTTCGAGAATGCCACTTTGGTCGCAATTTTTGATTTTCGAGCGGTCAATACACGTCGTGAAATCTCTATCGAACCTCTTAAAGATAATGAACCTTTAAAGAATTCTGGGCTTTCGATCATTCACATCATTTTTTATATTATTATTCAGGTTTATGAAATTTTAAATATCCCCTTTAAAAATTAAATATTTGAATTAATAACGTTGTAATTTCAGGCATTACTCACGCTGCCGTTTGGGCTGCTTGCTGTTCGTATATTACTCAATCCACTCCTGCAACATTGAGATCGTCGGCTCAAGGAGTTCTGCAAGGTCTTCATCACGGGTTAGGAAGAGGATGCGGAGCAGTTATTGGAGGAATTTTCGTCACTCATTTTGGTTAGTATCTTTAATTAATTGTATTATCGCGTACGACTAATTAAGGTCCTAACTTGTTCTTAAAAAATTGAAATCGTATAATTACTTAACAATGCTTAAAATTATCATACGTAGCAATTCTTGCTACTTCAGTTTTATAATAATTAAAATTTAAATATACATTTAGAATGTTCATTTGTAAAGAAAAAAGTTTTAATTAAAGTTAATGTAGTCTCGAAAACAATAGATAATAGTTGGTTAAACGAAGTAGCGAGAAGATAGACAGTTATTCTTACGGCCAAATGGAGAAGGAAATAGATTAGGTTTATTATGCTGATTAGACAATTTAAATTTTAATAAAGATTAAGCATCGATTCGTTTCGAAACGTGTCCGATTTAATCGCTAGGAATACATTAGCATAGGAAAATAGTAAAATTAACGATGACCAAAACAAGAGGATTGATGAGATGGACTAAAGCTGACATGTTTCCGCGATAATTGTTTCTCCTGTTTGGATCCACTCCAAAGATTTAATTATTATTTGATTCGATTCAAATTACATTTTCTCTAGGCGAGTTCAGATTGGCATCGTCACGAAAACAATCTTGTTTTTGTATAAAAAGTCTATGTTGACATAATTATTTCTGTAAAAATCTTTTGCTTCCTTCTAATGAAAAAAATTCGATCGATAGTAGCGGAAGTATCTTTCTTTTTTTAATTCTTTGAAATTTAAAATCACTCCAAACTAAAAGAATAACAAAAAAGTTACTGACAAAGAAACACGTTAGGAGATCAAATAAAAGTCGAGTCGAAAACAAAAATAATCAATCCGTGCCTGCTCTTCGCAATACAAGAGTAGAACTATTTGTAAAAATTTTCTTTGCAGTCATTGCAGTTATAACCAGCTAAATGTTTGTCTGGTTCAATAAAATGGGAGAAGCTTTTAGCCAAACCGGTCCCACATTCGGAAGTTTGGTATCAATAATTCAGCAAAGTTTCCCGAAGGTTTATATCTATCAATGAAAAGAAAATCAACGAAAATATTTACTTTACTTAATCGATAAAGATATTTCCCTTTTTAAGTTTTCAAAATCCGATATGCAAACGACTTAATACAGCAGCGGCAAGTTCGAGCTTATCTTAATCGCGCGTTATATCCAACGACGGTCACATATAGTTGTATTTAAAAAGTATCGACATTTTAAAACTTTATTTCAATTTAAAATATGTTATTTTTTAAAATATAATCCTAATTAAACTTTAATTAAGCCGTTAACACAATGCATGAACTCCTCGAAGTCGACTTCAAACTGGCAACAAAACTGGATTTTGAAGAGTGTACTTTTTTTTTCTCCTTCAGGGACCCAAGTGACGTTCCGAGGCTACGGCTTCGCTTGTCTGATCGTCCTCTTTCTCTTTATCTTGATAAATTACTACAGAAAAGATAAAGGATTCAGCTCATTTCAAGACGAACAAGAACCCGGAATGGTCATCGAAGAAACCAGCCATTTGGCTCCACATGGGGTTCCCGCCAATCCCATGGCCAGATCTCTGTCTAAACAGAATCTGGAAGATCAAAACTCTATCGGGAACACGGGTCGAGGAGAGTACGGAGCCACAAATCAAGGATCGGTTACTCCCGGCGGTTTCCTGGGTATTCCCGGAGGTGGAGGTACGTCTTTTTCTTTTTTACATCCTTGTAATAATATATTTCATTATTTATTTTTTTATAAATTTGCATATATAATTAATTGTTTGTTATAGTAGTACAAATTCGGAACGTTCGGGCGAGATTCTCAGATAGCGCCAAATTTTTAAAATATTTGAATAAAGCAATTTGCATAGAAATATTTGACACGAATAGACTTTTCAAATTTCTATAATGATTCTTCTTACGATAAAAACAATTGAGATTCCTCGAAATATCATCTTATCTCTTCGATAGATTTTGCTTAATAATCCAGCAAATTAAACCGAATGCCTTTTTTCACATTGTAGTTAGTCTATTTATTTTAATTATTATTATTTTGACCGAAACAAAAAGGATTTTAAGAAAAACGTGACCAGATACCTAATCTATCGGAAAATCATCGTAAGATCGTTATATATGACCATAAACATATATAAATCGACGAGTTTATTGTCTCTAAATTTAATATAACAAAATAAAACTTTAAAGATATCATTTTATTCGCATACTGTGTTATAATTTTGAAATTTCTAGGAAAATTTATACTATTTATATATTATATACTACAGAAAAAGAAAACAAAATAGTTATTTAATGGAAGTTATTGTAACGCCTAATTTAATTTTATCATATAAATTTACATTTTATAAAACGTTTTATTTGAACAACATTCCAAAATATTTAAATTAAGGAATGATTTATATGTTTTTATCGTGACGTAGAATATTATTTTGAAAATTTCCAATAAACTTTTTAGACACACAAAAGCATTAGATACATGCATAAACCGGTTCCTAATTTCATTTTCTGTATTCATACATTAAGTAATTAGCAATAAAAATAAAAGAAATCCAATCCCCGTAATACGATTTTATTTAATTCCTGTTTATTAGAATAGGACGGTATATTTGTTTTAACAAACCAAATAATTTAAATATATTGCGAATTTGTTTCATTTAACTAATTTTCAACCTTCTCGTATAGATAACGAGTAGTCTATTCTGCCATTTGTTATTCGAGTAAAACGGCAACGTAAAAATCTACTGGGTTAATTCGGGATTAAAAGCGAAATCTCGTTTGACGTGTCTTAAAGCTCGACGTCAGGCGCGTAAAAGCATTAGTAAGACGGGCGATGAAGTTTGGCAAAATCCGATTGGATATTTTAGAAAATAGAAACAGAACTAGGCTAATCAATCGAACTCTTCAAAGATAATGCGGATACGGAAACGGGCGACGTTAATCTCGAACGTCTCTCGGAATTTCTTTCAAATGTTGAATAATTATTTAGCAAATGAAGTTTTAAAATAAGAATATTCTAAAGAATCATCAGGACTAAAAATGATATAAAACAAAACGCCGGTAAAAATTCCCAATATCGACATGGAAAAGGAAATGTTTTAGTGCGAAAAATCAGATTTATTTCATTACTCTTTGTCGGTGTTTCAACCATCAAAAACAAAACGTTAATGACGAGAAAGGACAGCGCAATCTTCCAGAAAAGAAGAGTCGCGTGACGAACATTAAGATGCAGGAAAAATACAAACAATCGTCTTGGAAATCGAAGTTAAAACTGAAAATAAGTAAATCGGCAAATGTTTTTCGACTGCACCGAAAAACGTTTTCCTTCAAATAGAATTAGGCCTAAGTGCATGGAAGGGATTTTTATTTAGAAGACAATAACTTGTGTCTTCACTCGACGGAAACGTCCGTCCCACTGTAGTTAAAAGTTTCTAAATCGAGTGAGAGACGACATTTATTTATGTTTATATTGGAAATTTTAAATGACAATACGGCATTTTCTTCTATTAATTTTTTTTCTATTCATATCTTAATCTATTTGTATCAAATTACGCTAGCGTGAAATTTTACTTACATTTCTACCAGATAAGAAATTTCTTGACCGAGTGGATTGACATTTCGGACGTTTTCCGTGTTAAGATTTTCTCTTTCTGAAAAACTGATGTTTTCCATTACTGTTTAAACTCTATAGTTGGCAGATTTGAATAATTCTTTTTCCTTTATTGTAATAAAAAAAAAAACTATGGTTATGATTTTAGATTCTAATCGAAGATTTCCATATGTTTTATTTTAAATATAAAAAGTCTGGCAAAATTTTAGTACATTTAGTTAATTTTAGTTTTTAGTAAAAATGTGTATATGAAACTATTGCGTGATTAAAACTGAACGTATTTGATAACGAAAATACTTACTTCTTGGACTAAATATTATCAGTGAAATCATTTCGTAATAGGAAAAGAAAAATAAAATTTTTGAACTCTATATTGGGATTTTTTTGCAGATAAACAATAGGCTTCTGTATCTTGCGTGTTTACGTTATAATATGGCGATCGGTGAAAAAATGACCTCCAAGATTTTTACATTTCTGGACTGGGGACCTTGAAACGTCGAGTAATGCAAAAAATTCGGGATTTTTTTCTATATGTATAGATGTTAGTTTGTAGGACGGGCACGATTTTGTTCATCCGGTTTGAAGTTGAATAACTCCTGTGCTTTTTATCGAAAATTTCTGAAATTTTGCAGATAGGTTTGTTTATTAGGGGGATTGATGCTATTAATTTTGATGGTTAATTAAAGGTCGAGGAGTGGGGAGCTAAAGGGGTGGTGTGTGGTACCTCGAGTACGGACTTAATGACGATTTTACTCGTTATTAGCATTTACAATTTTTTATAAAGCTGGTACCTACCGTCAAAATTAAGCTTTTTGCCATTTTATAATAAAAACGTTTTATATTTTTAATTAATAAAATATCGTAACAGATGGCGCCACACGCGCAGGTTTAAACGTTGCCGGAAAGTTAAGAAACTCGTTGCTGGATTTTTAAATTTCTTTATTTGAAAGAAGTCGAAAACCAGCGATTTCTGTTTTCAATCATCAAAACACTCGTAAGCTCACAGAACCTTCATCGAATAAGCAATCAACATTCAAAATTCTTGCATGGAAGTTTCACATGGGAATATCGCCGAAAAATTGTCCGCGATGGTCGATAACAAGATCGTGCACACGAAAAGGGTTTTGGGATTTATTTTAATTCTTCTCAAATGAGAGGGATTATGTTAGTATATTGTATATAACTCATATTGTTTGATTTTGTATCAGTTCAGTACCTCAGGTCTACTGTTTTGTGTTGCTTTAGGTACCTGTATTGTAAAATCTGATAAACTAAATTATGAAATTTTTAATCTCCCCTTTTAAAATCCTGCTCGATACACAAAACAGTCTACTTCATACGTTCCCCGACTAAATAAGTTGAATATGCATTTGATTTAACTGTATATGCATTTGAATTCAAATACAAGAATAGGATTATTGGTATAAAGATCATTTGTAGAAATATATTACTTGAATATGGATAGCTTTCTGATCTTAAATACTAATTATAAACGTTTCTAATCTTTATTAAATGGCTTTCGGTTTCATAATCATGACGACCAATTTTTTTTTCGCATTACTGATCACAAAAAAGAATAAATTGCTTCACATTTTACGGAATTTTCATTAGTATGAAACTTTTTAGTTTATCGGATTCAGATAAGAGTTTAAAATTTTAAATAATAGTAGTATTATGTATAGCCTAAGTCAAACATGCCACAGCAGTGTTTCGGTAAATGTTCACTTAACTTGATTGCGGCACTTCCGGTCGCCATCTTGTTTGTGAATGCTATGTCCACAAACAAGATGACAAACAGCGTAAATACTAACAAAACCGTATTGTAAAGATTAAAAAAAATTTTTTTTTCTACTCACAGTTAGCGTACTTTTATTTTTCTTCGAACATTCTGCAACATCTTTAGTAACTACATCTTGTATAATCTTACTTGACTTTTTTCCCTTACTTTTAACACACGTTTCTTCTTTCTTCCTCTTTCGATTTTCGTTATTCTTGGGGATTGATTTCGGGGCAGAAGGAACAGTTTCTGGTTCTTTTCATATTGGTGCACGACCCCACTCCTGGATAAACTTTACTCAAATGCTGAAGAAACAACCCGAAATGTTCTCCTGGTTTTAGTTTTTTCCATCTCAGAATCTTCTTATATATAAAGGCATATAAATACGAATCAGACATATCTTTAGTGTAATGCATTTAACAAATTGCTTTGTTTTCAAACAACCCCACAAACTTTCAATTTTTTGCGTATGGACGCCCATAACTGGATCAACGAAATTTCGTGCGTGTTTCACTGTTTAATATCTTCTCCTAAATCGTCGATATGATTGTATCCTTTCTATTTGTCCGTGTATACAATGCTTTCTGAATTTACAAATTTACTAATAACCCAATTAAGACTTACTTCTGACCTGTCATTTATTTTACATACAAAACATTAATTATCATCTCGACAATCTTTCCGGGTCCACCAATTTTCATTTGGGATAAATTATACAAGGAAATTATCATAACGTGTCTTACGAAGTTTGCTATACGTTAACTCACGCCCACAGCCAAACAGGTCGCGCTCAACGTATACTCTATGCAAATTAGATGCCATACGAAGGAAAAATAGTTTCCCACGAAATTTTCCCGAATTTACCTTTAAAAGTTTCGCCTTGAATTTGTGATATCGAAATAAAATTGAATCACGATCCTTTCTATAAATTAATTTACGACGACCATCGCATTTCTGCATGTACAGGTTGTAAACCGAATTTTATGGCAAATTTGACATCTGTCGAAATTCTTTTGTCAACAACTATTTCAGGAAAATCTGATCCTAAATGATGATAAAAAAATCCTTTGCTGTCCACTTTTGCTATAAAACTGTTGGTCTAAGTAATTCCGACATTACAATAAAAATGAAAATATTAATTATTAACTCCGAAAAAAATATAAACTAACTCCAAGAAAGAAATTTTGGAAAAATAATAATAAAGTAACACTAATCCTGTTTAAAAATTAATCTAAAAACCAAATGATGTTAGAATTGTTGAAAATCATTAACAGCGACTATATTAAAAGACACGTGCCGCCATCAGGTTTACCTAAGTGAACATTTACCCTATATACAATTATTTTTTTTTTATAGCACTACTTTAGTTTAATTCCACACTCGCGGTTTTTGCATTCTATACATCTACATGCTATATTTTAATAGTAAACATTCTTCGGGGGGGAAATGAAAATGATACGCTTTGTATACACGTGCAAGATTCTATTTACGAGAAGCAAATGTATGTATATTGTCCGATAACAAAACGTTTTCGGTTCAAATTTCCTTTTAATAAATAAAATGTGTTTAAATAAAATACAAATGTAAACGATTAAAATATTAGAAATGTAATTTAATCATTTACATATAATTTTAATATTTTATTTTGAGGCCGCTGTAAATTTGCTCTGGCTTCCCAAGTTTTGGCCTGTGTCCCCCGGTTGAAAAAACACTGCCATAGCACGTTGCTTTTATCACAAAATAAGTTTCAATACTTCTTTAGGTACAAGAATATAAGTTTTAAAACTAATGTTGCTTTTTGAAATTTTGATATATCCAAATAAAATTCATAATTTTTTTTAAACAATAAAGGAACAAATAAGCTTAAATGAAGGCATACGAATCTACGTAAATATCAAAGCTTTAAGAAAATCTCGTTTTAAAATGAAAAAAGAACATTAATATTTGGATAGAATGGAATAAAAGGTAGATATAAAGCCAATACGATATTATTGCGTCAAATTTTTACTATTGAAATATACAAATCCGGGTCATATTCTGGATACAAAACCTTTGGCAACTGTTCTCGAAACTACGATAGCAAGAATGGCGTAGGGGTTATCACTTTGTTAAATGACAATATTTCAAAAAATTTAAAAAGAATTCATACTACATTTTATCTGTTAAGAAATGTTTCCCCCCTTTCTTCTTTAATATATCACACCAAAATTGAATTTTTTTTTCTCGTGATCGAAACCCTTCTTCTGCGGTAATAAATTATTTTTGTTGGAAAGTTTTCTATCCATTTTGCAGATGTCTGCCATTATCTTGCTAAGAATTGCTGGCCATTAAAGAAAACTACTTTCGTTTTCCTATTAAAGAAAACTTTTTTGGGATAAATTTTGGTTCTAAAAACAAATTATAATTACGCTGTAACGGTTTAAATATTATGCACAAATATACAAAGTTTATTATAAATTCAAAAATAATGGTAATGCTATGCCAGATACTTAGTTTGATGATATTTAGCTCTTGAAATATAATGGTTACATTATTATAAATAAGAAAACAAATTCTTTTTCAACTGCTAAAAAGTAAATTATATGATTAAATTCCATTAATCTTTAAACAGAAAATGTCCAAGGAAGCGGAACTTATTCAGATTTTAATATGAACAATACTAGTTCTAACGGAAATTATCCGTTAACAAGAAGAGCCTTAGCAGCAGCGTTTAATCCTAAAGGCATATTAGCGGCTGCTAGTCCCGAAGCAGTATTTGAATATGACACCATCAGAAGGGATTTTCAGGTGAGGAAAAACTTATGCCAAACCTATTTTGAAATTTCAGTAAATTCATTGAGTATTTTCGACAGGCTTACAAAGAAGTTACCATGTTTGTGAAAGACCACGATGAAAATTTAACCCAAAAACAAGATTTATTGGAAGCATACCATCCAGAGACAACTCTCTTTACTCCCCAACCTGCAGTCCACAGAAAAGAGAGTGATTACGATTGGTAATTCTCTACAAAAATTAGTATATTACAAATATTGAACAGTATTTGTTATTAATTTGTTCAAAGATGAGTAAAAATATTTTTAGTATGAAGAAATGAAAGAAAAGGTGCAACAATTTTAAACCATCATTAAATATCTGCAAAACTACTTAAAATTTGTTTCTTTCCAAATTTTCAGAACTTAAGTTGTAATGTTATCAAGTGCTTATTAAATAAGTTGCTTAATGTTTTTAAAAAATTAATTTTAAGTAATTGTTTTGTTGATATTTCCAGAAAAATAATTATATATATAATTTAAACAACTCAGGATAACACAAAGAATAAAACTGAATCACATAAAAATAAGTTTTAAGAATCCTTCTTTTTTAATTTAGATACTGTCTTAGTGTACTTTCTACTAAAAGGTAAATTATTCAAAGTACTATATTAATTCAAAAAAACTTTTCTTTGAAAAACTGTTTTAATAGAATTTCTTTTGCTAATCTTATAAAATGATGCACACATTAAATTACTTGTGAATGTAATTTGTCTGTATGTTAAGTAATAAACTGTAATTAAATAATAAGTTTTCAAACCCTGTATTCTTAAATAATGAATTGATGCAACTGGCCATTATAACTGTATTGTTAATATAATAAAGTAGGCAATAATTTAATGTAAAAAATATATTAATGAACTAGCATAAATAATTATTGCTGAAAATCATAATTTCAAATGTAAGTTGTGTATTAAAAGAACATTTCTGTCATATGTAATTACAAGCCCCAAAATTGCCTTTATATATATCTACAATACCAATGCTGCTGTTTGTGATTGGTACATATCATTGTTAAAAATGTCTCGCTAGACTGAATAAAAATAGTCCATTCCTGGATCTATGGTCTCTCTTTTTTATATAAGCTTATTACCGAATAATTTAATTTTTGATATCGTAAATAAAAATTTTGTTTCAACTTTCTTCAAATTAAAAATATTAGTGTTCAACAGATTACCATATCCTTAAGAAAATCAAATTAAATTTGTAGAAGATAAAACATCTTGCAGTGTAGCAATTAAATTTGATCATTTTACAAAACTAATGATATTTCTAAAAATATTTTTTAATTTCAATTCATTATAACTTGTATTTTAGTTTCCAGAATCTCTATAGTGTATTCTGAGAAATTTTATGAACATTGCACTTACTTATAACATTGCATATTGGCTTATTTTGGCACACGATAATTAGTTTTTCCTGTAAATTGCCAAAAAATAATACTGTTAGAAATATATGAGAGGAAACAAAATGTGTAAGACAATGATTTATTTCATGGAGGGAATGTACACTATACATAGCAAATGCACATTGTAGTCCCAAATGTTTTGTATAATCACTGCAGCTTTTCAAAACATACTGCAAAGTTGATGGGTGATGCAAATGGCTTTCACTATACACATTATCATGCACTCATTCAATAGTTGTGAAAACAAGTCATGGCACTTTCTGCATAGAATGAAGTTTTCAAAAGAGGATGAACAGAAGAGAATGCATAAGGCACTATAATGAATTGGTGCTTTGTTTAAATGAAGGTTATTTACTGTTAGTATCTACTATTAAATTCATTATTATTAGATGACATATGTTAAATTAATACTGATTGAATTTTAAGATAATGACAACACTTTATGTACAATGCAGATTTACTTTTGTTGAATATCACAAATTGACCAAGAAAATACACATGAATCAGTTTTAAGTACAATAAAAATCATATTATGTCTTCATAACTATATATAAAACAACTTATATAACTATAATGAATATAATACATTTGGTGATATAAATATTAGCACCAATTCAAAATAGTTGTCTCAACTCAAGAAAATCATAACATGGCACTGCTGTGTACAAGTACTATCCAAGATGCAGATAGAAAAGAAGTTGTTAAATTTGATATCATGATAATTTTCTAGAGAAATAGGATCTTCCTCTCTGTTTCTTTAGGATAGTATCTCTGAGTTTTGGGTATAGTTCTATTTGTATCATCATCATCATCATCATCATCAAATACTGAATTGTTGCAGCATCCACTTATACCTTGAATGCTATGTGCAATCATCTGTATCTTGAGGCACTATTTCTTTCCCTGACAAAAGTTCCCACTTTTTGTAGTGAAACAAGAGTGGAATGGATGTTTTTCACACATACAGAAACTTCTATCTGCCACATTTTAAATGGAAAGTTCCACCCATGCATGAATTATATAACATTGACATTGGAAAACATTTCCTAGTAATTATGGCAGAAAATCACAATTATGAAGTTTGTTGTGTTTGAACTAAATTCCATAAAAGATTGCTTTCAACAAATATGATGATGTTTTAATGGCAACTGGAAGAGGAGGGATTACTCGATGAACCTGAACTGCCATTATTAGTTTGGGCTTGAGCTCTCTTGATATAAATATTCAACAATTTCATCTAAAATAATAACAAATATTTTAAATTCTAAGCAAAAATTCATATAAAACATTACAAATAATACATTTATTTTTAATTTTGGTAAAACTGTAATAACCTACCCTGCTTCCACTTAATGTTGCCAAATGCGGTTTTAAGGCATCTCCTACAACAGAATGAATAGCTACTGTACAGAATACTGCTTCTTTCCGCACTGGACTTTCTTCATTATCAAATGCCTGAAATTAAACAAATTGCATATTTGATAGAAGTCCAATATATATATGAAATCAAGTTTTATTAATAATTCTTCAACTGAAAAATTACTACAAATACTATGTATACAATATTTTGTATTTTGGACCTGATCAGCAGGTGTTTTATCAGTTATATTTCTAAAATACAAAAATTTTTAATTATACAATTAAATTTTTTTAAACTTATAAAATTTAAACCATAATTATATACTTAAAACACTTCAGACACTTTACTCCTAACTTCTGCATAAGCTTTCCATGTTGGATGTAAAAAACACTTGGAACCATTAAATTTATAGAGGATGTCTTAATAATAATGCTATTTAAACACAACAGCAGAAGAATAAGAGAGGAAGAAGAAAGCACAGCCAATGTTGTTACAAAAGTAAAAGAAATAAAGAAAAGAGGGAGGCAAAAAGAAATAATAATAATTTATAATTAATAAAAAATAAAATTCAAAATAGATGTTTTTTCCTTTGTAATTTTTCATTTTTAGCCTGGTTAAAAATTTTTATCATTCAGGACTTGAAAAAAAGTTGTAAGATTTATGCATAAGTTAGGAATAAGCTNGACAATCCCACACCCTGAACCACATCCCTGGCAACAGATTGGAGACCAATAGAATTACACAAGACCACTGCTTTGGCCCAACCAAAAAGTAGGATTTCAGGAGATGATGATATAAAAGCCCAAAATCTCAAGGACATAGTGCGGTTGGCAAAGATCGTCCACACTGAAGATTTGTGTTACTGGTCATTCTAACCACAGGAAAAACCAGTGGGCCTCAGAGATGCCAAACATCCGATGTAAGGACTTAACTTCCAATGTGTTGTCGAGGATCCAATTCACGATGATCAGGATACAACTTCTTGCCCTTGGGCAACTCTCCAACCTCTGCATCTACCTATTCCATTGGAATGAACTCTCATGTGCTCTTCTTTGTGTGATGCCCTTCGAACAGATGACACTGTACAGCTGTAAGCATGTTTTGTCTTATTAAATGTGATTCATTTTGTCACTCTGGTAACCATGTGAATTTCTGTGTCCAGCACCGCTATCCCCATACATACAAACCACTCTCGCATCATCTTGACTGATTGTGGGAAAAAGCAAGTGCCTCTGTCTCCCACCTAAGACAGACCATAGTTGGGTAGTACATGACAGGCCGCCATCCTTACCCAGTCAAGTAATTGCTGTATTATGTATGAGGACAAAAGCAAAAATACAAATTAAGTAAAAATATCAAATATATGATGACAAAAACAATCCAATTTATATTTCTTTCCTTTTTATAGTTGTTAAATTTAAACTAATCAGTAAAAGTAATTTTTAATTTTTGTATCAAGACTTTCTTGAATAATTTTTTTTATAAATTTTATTAGTAAAAATGAGCAATTATTTATTGTGATACATTTGCTTCATGGTTGAAAAACTGCACTCAACAGACACACTCATACATGGTATAGCAAAAATTAATGATATTAATTAAATTGTATAATATTTTCAGTACATCTTTGTTCAGATTATCATTAATTATAATACTTTTCATGTCTAAGGGTACAACTATGCAGACACAAATTACAAGCGAGCAATAGATTGCAAGTGATATAGTTCTCGAAAGGGAAAACCATGCACAAGCAAGAAGTGATAAATCTTGCTCGCGAGAGCAAATTTCTGGTTCTTGCACATATCTGATAGGGTTTGATATTTATTGCATTTCACCTCTTCTTGCTACATATTCTCACTTGCTTGTATCTGCATAGTCACACCCTAATACTACGTTCTCACACAATCCACAACTCACTTTGATCTCAATTTACCTACAATCTGGATTGTAACTGTCACTAGTCGAACATTGTGCTGTTTGCACAGGCAGTCTGCTTGAGAAGAACCTGGCTATTACACACGATCATAAAACTGACATAACTACGCGGTAAGTCACAAACACCAACAAACAAAATGGAAGTTTAGATTAGAAATAAATACTTTTTCTTGCCATACATCTAATAATAGACAGATGTCGTCGTCTCTCCAGATGTCTTTTTTATTTCTCTGTCGATAGCCCGACACGTGTTCCGCAGCNTTAAAAGCACACATAAGAATATAGTTAAGACTGAATTTAGCTTTTTTATCATTGAATAACACTATGTCTTTACTTGGATCCTTCATAACATTATTTCAATTTCTATTTTAACTGAAAATCATTCATTTTTATATTAATTAAAAGGGTTTATCACATTCTTTTCTACAATATAGATTTTATTTGTAAATTTACATATATCTTATGCATATTTTTCTGTTTTGTGTGAGTGGAAATAAATATTTAAACTCAAATGTTTTCTATTTCACTACTATAGGATCATATAATTACAAATATTTTGTCATTGTCATCATATCCAAATAGCATTTGTTCTATTTTCTTTCATACAAAATGGAAATAAATATTTCTTTCAATTATAATTAACATCAACATAATTTTTAAACTTCTATAAATAATTTTTACTGAAAAACTTTTTAAGTTGATATGAATTGACTGTTATTTTTAAATTTATATACTAAATAATAAACGTAAGTTAACAAAAAATATTTCTAATTATAATTTGATCTTAAAAACTATAAAACTCTTCAAATATACTGTAATATATCACATTTTATTAAACATGAATTATTACTGAAAGTTGTTAGTTTTTGTTCTTCAGAAATTATTAAATTTTATCAACTGAAAATTATTTATATTTTATAATTTGAAACATTTATGGATTAAGAACTAAAAAATTTTATGTTTTAACAAAAACTTAATGACTAGTTGATGAAGCCAAATGAAGTCAAGATCTACATCTTCAGTTAAAATTATTTTAACTGATAAAGGCCATATTTTTTTGGTGGCTACTATATAATATTTTTCAATAAAACTATTTCGGCAAAAAAAGTGTAGTGTGATAAGTTTACTATATAATTCTTAATTTAATAGAAGCAAGTAAGCAAGATATTTAATAACAGTTAAATTTAATAAATTTATTTTTATATATATCTATTAAAAAAAATGATAATATAATATATATAGCACTTACTTTAGAGAGCATCTTGACAGCTGCTAAGCTGATAGGAAATTCTGCTGTAATGATAATAGGTTTTAAAGTTCTAACACACTGTTCAGGAGGAAGAACACTTGCAGCAACAGCTGAACATATATCAGCTACACGTAATACCTATCAAAATTTTAATTTTAAGAATTTTTTTTTTAATTATTATTATTTTATGGCTTATAACAAAGACCTAAAATCTACAGTCCTAAAAATTAATGTATCACTTATACCATCAAATATTTAAGTACATTTTCAATAAAAATTGTCATTTGGACATTATACATCTCAATTTCTCAAGTAATAATTCAAAAGTTGATTTTTACAATTATAAATTGACTATTGACATAATGGAATTGCAGTGCACTCTTGTTAATGAAAATTAATTATTGTATAGGTTGTTTGGATTAGCAGGATTATAAAGAAATGGAAGTCAAAAAGGAATACAAAGATTTTATAATTTATTATTTATTTAAATTAAAATAAAAACTTTATTCCTTTCTAAAATTTTTAACAACTTGGATTCGTAAAAGCAGACATGTTATTAAACTTCAAAATGGCCATTAGTATTCTGTTTAAACCCTGCTCACATAGCATATCTCATTAGTATAAGAACACAAAACTTGGTAAGTTTTATGATTGATTATTTTTATGTCAGAATACTTTCATCACACATTTGTTAAATTACTATTATATACTAGTTCTGATACAAGTTCAGAAACTTTATTATTATTATTATAAAATTTTATTTGCAGCAATTAACATGCTGATTTGCATGATGTTCATTGCAATATGCATGGTTGCACTGACTGCAATGTGCTATAGTCATTTTTCTTTTGAAGGACAGATGTGATAAATTGTTCTTGTTTATAGAAGTTGTATTCTCTCTTTGAATATCAGGATTTTTCTGTAAAATATTTTCTATGAGGAGGATCAATTGTATCTGCAAGGTGTGTTTTCTTCACTCATGAATTCATTAGCTCTTCACTTAGATGGATAAGGAACTCATTTCCTTTGCATGTCCAACTGGTGACTGAATAAAATAAATAATTTCTGCTTAGAATGTGACAAGATAATTGATTAGCAGGTTGTGTGGACCAGCAATAATTAGTCCTCCAAACATGATTATCAAATGAAAAATTAAGTATAATTGCATTCTCTTTCAATAATTATGACACTTGCATCTTCTAACTCTCTTCAGAATATGAGGTCTCCAGTACAGTGTCTTACCCCTGTACAGTACATTATACTTTCCCTTTAACAATAGAGTTGTGCATGTTATCTATTTAATTACTGCTTTCAGGGGAAAGTTTTGAATTGAAATAATGTGATTTCTGGTTTGCATCGGATATCATATATGGTTAATTAGGACCTCATGTTCCTAAAGTTTCCACATCTGGTCTCGGATTTCATCTATCTAACCCCATTCTCAAGATTAAGGCAAGACAGATGAACAGAAGTGGAAATTTATGTCTACAATTTTTTCAAATTGCAGCACAACAAATGGAAAAAATTATTTCAAGTTTAAAAAAATTTGAAAATATTCATTTAATTCAAAAGCCTTGTTTTCATGTTGACAGTATTAAACAGAATAGGAGACAGCCTCTAAGACTAACTTGTTAAAAAATAACTAACATTTATATATACTTACTTTTATAAGAGCTGGCATAATATCTGGTAACAACTGCACAATTATATTCTTTGGATATTGGTCCACCAACTAAAATATTAAATTAATATATTAATAACTATATAAAATACAAAAAAATTAAAAGCACACATAAGAATATAGTTAAGACTGAATTTAGCTTTTTTATCATTGAATAACACTAAATCACTACTGAATAACACTAAATCACTACTGAATAACACTACTGAAATCCTTCATAACATTATTTCAATTTCTATTTTAACTGAAAATCATTCTTTTTATATTATTTAAAAGGGTTTATCACATTCTTTTCTACAATATAGATTTTATTTGTAAATTTACATATATCTTATGCATATTTTTCTGTTTTGTGTGAGTGGAAATAAATATTTAAACTCAAATGTTTTCTATTTCACTACTATAGGATCATATAATTACAAATATTTTGTCATTGTCATCATATCCAAATAGCATTTGTTCTATTTTCTTTCATACAAAATGGAAATAAATATTTCTTTCAATTATAATTAACATCAACATAATTTTTAAACTTCTATAAATAATTTTTACTGAAAAACTTTTTAAGTTGATATGAATTGACTGTTATTTTTAAATTTATATACTAAATAATAAACGTAAGTTAGCAAAAAATATTTCTAATTATAATTTGATCTTAAAAACTATAAAACTCTTCAAATATACTGTAATATATCACATTTTATTAAACATGAATTATTACTGAAAGTTGTTAGTTTTTGTTCTTCAGAAATTATTAAATTTTATCAACTGAAAATTATTTATATTTTATAATTTGAAACATTTATGGATTAAGAACTAAAAAATTTTATGTTTTAACAAAAACTTAATGACTAGTTGATGAAGCCAAATGAAGTCAAGATCTACATCTTCAGTTAAAATTATTTTAACTGATAAAGGCCATATTTTTTGGTGGCTACTATATAATATTTTTCAATAAAACTATTTCGGCAAAAAAAGTGTAGTGTGTAAGTTTACTATATAATTCTTAATTTAATAGAAGCAAGTAAGCAAGATATTTAATAACAGTTAAATTTAATAAATTTATTTTTATATATATCTATTAAAAAAAATGATAATATAATATATATAGCACTTACTTTAGAGAGCATCTTGACAGCTGCTAAGCTGATAGGAAATTCTGCTGTAATGATAATAGGTTTTAAAGTTCTAACACATTGTTCAGGAGGAAGAACACTTGCAGCAACAGCTGAACATATATCAGCTACACGTAATACCTATCAAAATTTTAATTTTAAGAATTTTTTTTTTAATTATTATTATTTTATGGCTTATAACAAAGACCTAAAATCTACAGTCCTAAAAATTAATGTATCACTTATACCATCAAATATTTAAGTACATTTTCAATAAAAATTGTCATTTGGACATTATACATCTCAATTTCTCAAGTAATAATTCAAAAGTTGATTTTTACAATTATAAATTGACTATTGACATAATGGAATTGCAGTGCACTCTTGTTAATGAAAATTAATTATTGTATAGGTTGTTTGGATTAGCAGGATTATAAAGAAATGGAAGTCAAAAAGGAATACAAAGATTTTATAATTTATTATTTATTTAAATTAAAATAAAAACTTTATTCCTTTCTAAAATTTTTAACAACTTGGATTCGTAAAAGCAGACATGTTATTAAACTTCAAAATGGCCATTAGTATTCTGTTTAAACCCTGCTCACATAGCATATCTCATTAGTATAAGAACACAAAACTTGGTAAGTTTTATGATTGATTATTTTTATGTCAGAATACTTTCATCACACATTTGTTAAATTACTATTATATACTAGTTCTGATACAAGTTCAGAAACTTTATTATTATTATTATAAAATTTTATTTGCAGCAATTAACATGATGATTTGCATGATGTTCATTGCAATATGCATGGTTGCACTGACTGCAATGTGCTATAGTCATTTTTCTTTTGAAGGACAGATGTGATAAATTGTTCTTGTTTATAGAAGTTGTATTCTCTCTTTGAATATCAGGATTTTTCTGTAAAATATTTTCTATGAGGAGGATCAATTGTATCTGCAAGGTGTGTTTTCTTCACTCATGAATTCATTAGCTCTTCACTTAGATGGATAAGGAACTCATTTCCTTTGCATGTCCAACTGGTGACTGAATAAAATGAATAATTTCTGCTTAGAATGTGACAAGATAATTGATTAGCAGGTTGTGTGGACCAGCAATAATTAGTCCTCCAAACATGATTATCAAATGAAAAATTAAGTATAATTGCATTCTCTTTCAATAATTATGACACTTGCATCTTCTAACTCTCTTCAGAATATGAGGTCTCCAGTACTTACATCTTATGCTGCTGCTGGTGTACCAAGGACCCACTATCATTGGTGCTGTTAACGGATTTTATGAGTTCATCTTCTGTGTCAGTCATTACAATGACCTTAACTTTCATGTTAACCAGTCCCTTCCAAAATGGTGTTCAGGTTTACAGGAAATGTCAGCTTTCCCACAGTAGTCACAATTTGCATGCACTATGCTTGTCAAATGCTTTGGATGATCACTAAGCTATCATTTTCATGGCAATAGGGAAGAAACACTTGTCAGTAGGACTAAAATTTTTCTGTCAAGTTGTTTCATTTTGCTGAAAACATTTTTATTTGTTGAAAGACAATATATTAGTACCACGTAGATTATTATTGCCATTCTGCAATTTGTTTAAGCAATATTTACCAGAAATACTAAGTGATAATGTGTATTGCTTAGTAACTGTGTTAAAGAGTATTGCAAGAAAATTTTGTTTCAAAAGTTTTGGTTGCTTTCAAATTAGAAGTTACAAAATGTACATTGCTGCAGGCCAAATGTCTGTTCATAAGAGCTGTATCACAACAGCTTATGATTTGAATTAGAAAAAGGCTACTTTTTAATTTAATACAATAGACAGCACTTTTATTTTGCTTGCTAATTTTCCCAAGTGAAATATAACATATATTAAAATAAGAAAAGATCACTAAGCAAATGGCCTACTGGGAAATCTGGAGTTTCTGGTAGCCACTCCCCCGATTGTGAGTTCATGCCTGACCAACAGGCTGACCATGTAGAGTTTTCTGGGATTTCTTTACGTGTATAACAGTTAAACAATAGCTATTTCCTATAGAAAGTCTTCCCTTGGCAGATCACTCAAGTGTTGTGTTTGCCTTATTCTATCAATCCTATCTGAAAATGCATCAAATCTTTGTCCATCTTTGCAACATTATAAAAGATATCTGCAGTTATTTTTACAAATGCTAACAATGACTTACAAGATCACTAATATAACTAATGTACATACAATTCATCTTTGTTTTATCAAAATGGAATTAAAAAGACTCACTATTTTGCCCAAAAATATGCCTAGGGGGAAGTGTAAGAGTAAAATTAATCAGGTAAATTTTAGATCTACAAAAATAAGAACAACTGAGACCCCAGAAGGCTGTGAAGTCTGACTTGAGCAACATCAAGTATGAATTGCTTTGTTAAGGACTACAGAAACAGCATCACAATGCAAAGCTCTCAATTCTCCAGGCTCTATTTTCTCATTAAAAATATTGTCATGCTTTACAGGGGAATTTCTAGTATATATAAAATAGACATAGATATTACTAAGAAAATATTAACATCGTCTGTCGGTGTAATTATTTTACTTGAAATATTACTAAAAGTACTTTCAATAAATTTCAGATTGTCTTCTTCAGGTATAGAAAAAGGGAATCTTACAATTTAAAATATACATTAATGTGTTCCAAACAGCAAATTTAAAACATATTTCATAGGATGCATCAATACATTGAAAAAACTATAATAATATTACTAATAAAATGTCACATCATGCCAGAAACAATACAACACATTACTTCTGGTTGCAAGCTCTTTGCACAGACAGATTATTTACACAAACATAATCAAGTAGCAAATATAATACACCAAGAGCTTGCAAAGAAACACAAATTATTAGTAACAACCCACGAAAAAACCTTTTTTTTACGAGTGTTATGTCACTAGTAAATTCCACAAGTACTTTCGACCTCCACCGAGGTCTGCTTCAGGTGGTGCAAATTATTAGACATCCATGAACCATACTACAAATACATTCCACAGACAGTATTAGAAAACAACACGCACAAAATGTACTATGACAGAGCCTAATCACAAATAAAACAATTTATCACATGTACTGTCCATCACACTCATTGACAAACACAATAAAATCACATATATTATAGACATATCCATTCCAAATACTCACAATGTACAAAACACATTCACTGAAAAAATTAGCAAGTACACAGAACTCGCCCAGGAAATAAGGCATCTGTGGAGGATGGAAGGGTGCTTATTGTACCTGTCGTTCTCTCCTGTACAGGTGTGATACCCCACACACTACACAAAAGCCTGGGAACATTACAATTGAATAGAAATACATACTGTACATCACACTATAGAAGGCCACTGTATTGAATTCATGCCATATCATTAGGAAATTCCTGTAAACAGACACTGACACACTTATTTAATTTTTGTTTTTGGTTGCTATGCCTTGACTCTGGTCTGGCATAGTACACAGTCACTGGTATCAACTGAGTATAACCCACTAAATACTATATAATAATAATAAATAAATAAATAAAACAGAAATAAAAAGGTTTTGAAAAATGTATAATTTAGAATTAACTCAAACAAAAATTATTGCACTAACTTTCTGTATATGTGTCATGTTGCTGGAAGGTCAGCAAAGATTTGTTACACAAACTAAGTGTTGTTACGTAAAGTGACTCCCATATGAAAATGACCCTGAGATCTGAACACCATTGAAGTAGGGTGGCATTGGCCCATTTTTCACAGTGTTTCTAGCAAGTTCAATAGTGGTTCTGTAATTTTTGATATTGTCTTGATGATCATGAAAGTGGCAAACCAATTTTCTAGTTGTAGCCCTGATCTAAAATATTTTTGCTCCCATTTGTGTCTATTGTAAAGGAACCATGTAGATCCCTGACTTCTCCAAAAAGGTAGAACTTTCACTTTAGAAAATGGTTACAATGTATTATGATATGTATTTTGACTTTTTAAAATTTTTAGGAATAAAATGCACAAAAATAAACTATAACACAATGTTATAGTAAAATAACAAACCAAATGAACAAACCTTTCAGTAATAAAATAAAATTTTTCATATATTTAGCATGAATATTGTATTTAAAATCTTTCTAACATGCCAAGATACATTATGTTTCAGTGTAATTAATTAATTTGCCCTGTACTGTGTTTTGACTGCATGTTGCTTTCGTGATGCATTATCAAAACAATTGAGATGTGTTGTGCTGTCAGAAACATTGCAACCATTTTTACTTTCTGTGGGCTATTGAGCTTTTGCTTCTGCATTTAGTAATAGAAACAATAAACTTAATTTTCTGTGGCTTTTCGTGTTTTGTTTCTTCAACAGTTTTCTGTAAGAGACTTTGCTTTTTGAAATTGAATTGATTGCAAGAGAAAATACAGTCGACCCCCCTATAAGATCATAGATACGTTCCATTTTTTAGGAATCTGATTTCTTACGAGTCGTTCCAATCACAGCCCGACACGTATGAAGTTTACGGACTACGGCTGATTGAAAGGTTTTCTTCCATAAAATTAATAGATTCTAGACTAATCTGACTCAATATTTCCAAAATACGTATATTTTTTTTGGAAATAATCCGTATAAACTACGCTATAAACAAAAAATTGTAGGATTACTTACCGAGTGTGCACTATTAGACATCCCCATTGCTAAAGCTTGTTTTCGTCGTGGAACAGCTCAGCAAATAGCGGCCGATTTCTAACAACTTATTTTTCTGTGAAAACTTCATAGAACTTTGGAGACATCATTAATATAAATAATTTTAATCGCCGTTGAATAAGAAATGTTTCTTTCACAAGAAATGTATAAAATTACAGTACTGTATTAGACTTACGGTACCTAATTTACATACTGTACAGACGATAGTTAGCGTAAAATCTCCGTAGTGTGGCGCCATGCTAGACGGCGGAAATTATATATTTAATTATAATAAAGTTACAATAAGTTAATATATAATTATATATACAGTACCTAATTTATATATAATTAATATATAATTATATGTACAGTACCTAATTTATATATAATTTATATAATACTGTCCAGACGATAGAAATCTCTCCGTAGCG